TTTAGAGTAAAATAGACCATAAGGTAGGGGTATGCTTTAGGGCGTAGCTAATTTGTGATTGACTAGTTGCTATCTCCTCGGGTTCAGTCAGATCCAATCAGGATAGAGGCGCAGCAATGTGTATACTCCCCAGCTCCACACTCTCGTCCAAATGTGATCACTTCTGGGTCCAAAATTGTGACAATCAAAATCAAAGTCCACAAACCATTGGCTGACGTCAGAATGGCTCTGTCCGCTACTTATTATATAGTCTATGGGCAAGACAGGATACTGTGTGGAAGGAGTCACATAAGCAGCTGAAGGCAACATTCCAGAAGTTATCAACTATACCTTTACTAACTATACACACCTAAAACACTTTGATATTACTCTCTGTTAATGTCTTTGGATTCACTTCCAACCTTGCTTTTATTGTTACATAAACAAGAATAAAGATGATCAATACTTTCTGAACAACAGGTCAGTCACACCCTCTCTGTCTAATTTGCTGGGCACTGGAGAGCCTTACTTTTTGAATCAGACTGGACTCTATGTAAGGCAGCATCATGTTGTTAATAGGGAGGACCTTGCTTTAGGTGCATTCACACTGAAGCCTTAGACATCCTTCTGAGCCACATCCTTCAGCTCCACCTGGGGAGTTGCAAGAAATGAACAGATGTACTATCTAATGCAGACTAATACAACAGCCATGCAACACTGTAATTTTGAGTGTCTTAAAAAAACAAACAAACAAAAAAGTAACACTGACTCCTATCTGTGTTGATAGATTGTAGTCCAGGTGACAGATGACCTTCTGTCCAGAGCATCCATGACAGTGGTGAATGGCAGACCCACATTGACCATCAACATCTCCACTGCCCGGGAGCACTGGCTGGAAGGCATGCTGAGGCATGAGATTGGTGGGTACAGTAGCTCTCATACATGTTTATTTCTAATGTGGTCCTCCTGTAGGTCACCAGGGATAGTTCACCAGCAGACATTCTAATGACAAGTCAGACACAGTCCTTGTCTCTGTCCACCAGGCACACATTATTTCCGTGGCATCAACAACTGTCACCAGCCGTGGAGCAGCAGCGTGGGCAGGAAGAAGCACAACCTGAAGCCTCTGAACCCCACAGAGGAGGGCCTGGCCAGCATCCACAGTGTCCTGTTCAGGAAAGACCCCACTCTGTGGCGCGCCGCCCTGCTCTACTACACTGTCTACCAGGCCAGCCGCATGTCTTTCTCTCAGCTCTTCCACAATCTTGGACGCTTCGTCCAGGACCCCAACACCCGCTGGGACTACTGCGTCCGAGCCAAGAGAGGCCAGACCGATACAGCACAGCCAGGTCAGAGTTTGCTGATATGCAGCCAGTTTTAGGCTTGATTACAAAGTTAATGTAGAGTCAGACAGTTCAACACTGGTTGGTTAAACCTGAATTGATTCACATGATATGTTAAAAATATTAATATCAGCCTTTTAATATTGACACTTGTCAAACTTCTTTTCTGACCTCTCGCATTGCAGGATGCTTCAGTAAAGATCAGGTCTACCTGGATGGTATCCTGAAGATCCTGAGATACAGAGACAAGATCAACTTCTCACTGCTAATGGCTCTAGGAAAGGTGAGGCAGCTCAACTTTCTCTGGTCTGGTGCTTGGTATCATTAGTGAGTTGACTGATTCACTAAGCAGCAGATTATCCACAGAGTCTTTTCACTAGATGTTTTGGTGATGTCATTCGCAACCTGAATCAGGCAGGTTGATTAATCCTGATCGGGCCATGCCACTGCTTCCTTCTCTTTAGCTACAGTCACTGGTTAAATCCAAATGTCTACCTTCCAGCAGACCCTTGTTTCACTTGTTTTATTTGAAGTTCCTGCAGCTTCAAACAGACCAAAACAAATGCTGAATTGTCAGCTTCCATCCATTTCTCCACTTATATATGTTTCAGGGGCAGCAGGATAAGTAAGGTGGCCCAGACCTCTTTCTCCCTAGGCATACCCTCCAGCTCTTCCTGGGGGATCCCTAAGGCTGGAATCCAGGGTCTCTTCTCTGTTGGATGTGCCCAGAAAACCTCCACAGGGAGATGTCCAGGAGGCCTTCTAATCAAATTCCCCAATTACCTCAGCAGAGGCTGATATTTGCACGGCTTCCTCAGCTCCACTGTACAGCAATGAGGATGGGTTCTCCATATCAGAGTAGCAGATAAGGTCTCAGTGTTGTGCTGATTGTGTCTTGAAGGAAGGTGAATACATTATTTATCTGACTGAGTTTAACTACACAGAAGAGGTTTACAGTTCAGATATAGGGTAAAATGAATGGACAGCAAGGCTGATTGAGGCTTATATAATAATCTCCCTAAAGAGGGAACAGGCTGTGTTCTGCTTCAGAGGACCCGAAGCCACTGATTAAACAAGGTGCTCATTCCAGTGTAGATGTAGCTTTAAACATATTTATTTATTTAAAATAAATAAAGAAATCAATCAAAAACCTTCCTCTTGAGCAAAGTGTGTCACTCACTTTTTCACTTAACACAGAATAGTTTGATTTTGAACTGGAAGGTGATTTAGCCCTGATTGCTGCGTGGCTTTAGGGATGCCAGTCGGTCAATCAGTCCACCACTTTTGTTTCAGACTGAAATATCTCAACAATTTAATGGATTGCCATTAAATTTGGGGTCATCCCTATGTTCCCCGGGTCCTATGTTCCCCGCTAAGGTTAGGGTTAGGGTTCCCCAGTC